AAACTTCGTTTAATAAGACAAGCGGAAAGATACACGAATAAATGCGGATTAATTGCCCTCTGAGACGAGTCTCCCAAGGATCGTAACAAAAATTACACAGGACAGTGTATGAGATAAAGACCTGCACACAGAGAGCTACGGACGTAAAAGACTGGGGGACAAACAGTCAAGATAAATAACAGGAAAGATTAAGACCAAAGCTGAGCGACGTCGGAGAAACGGTGAGACGCAACTCTTTGATATTTGCATACTGCACCCTACGGGGTAGGGGCGAGGGGCGAGGGGGAAGGGAGGAATTTTGGCAGGCTGGGAAGGGGCAGGGGAGGACTGGCGTCTCAATGCGAGAGCGCGACCTCCTTCTCTCGCGGAGTGTTAAATTAAATTATTATTATCCCCATTATCATTAAGCACGCCGAGTACTAGTGCCCTCCCTCCCTCCCCCCCTCCCCCTCAGCCCCGATATACATCTCGGGGGGGTCCGCGTATGCGCGCGCGTGCACAAACGTGCTCACGGACGCATGCATTTACGCGTACGCACGCGTATTTGCCGGCAGATCGAGGTACGAGATGTCGACGCGCATATAATTCTCCCGGGACGCCATTAAATTGTATTAATCCACTTCCATCATGAAATTGAAGTTCATACACGTGTATAAACGTACGTAGGTACGTTACCCGCTGCGATACGCCTGTACGCGGAGTGCGCGACCCCCGCGGAGAGCGACCCCGAGCCCTCTCTCCGATGCGCCCTTATCGATGTCGCGACAAATTTTTTTTCACCCGCCTCTCGATATCTCGCGCGGGGATCGCGCGTAGCCCCCGCCGCGCCGTTTCGTACTTATTAGTCCGGGGAGAGAGCGGCGCGATGAGCGGAGTTAAGCCAACCGTGAGGGAATCGTTCGAGTATCGTGTGCTTCTCTACCGGGCATTTTAATCACCGACACTTTGTCCCTACACGTTAGTTACGGATCGATTGCGTGTCGGAGAGAACGATCTCTCGTAGACGACAGTCCCGCGCACACATTCGGAAATATCGCATCTTCGCGTTGCGCGCGTGTCTCTCCATTAGGTTTCACCAACGCTTAACTTATAGCGAATTCGATCGCTCAAACTAGTGCGCACCGAGTGCACACTAAGGCCAGTTTATAGTCAATTTTTATATTTAACTTTGTCTCGAATGTATGTTCAAAGAGTGTCTAGCCAAAAAATAGTCCGTATGGATGCCAACAGATCATTTTATTGGCATACGAAATGTTTCAAGAAACATTTAAGACAATTCTTAAATATAAGAATTGACGGTAAACAAGCCTTAGTGCGCACTCGGTGCGCGCTAGCGCAAGCAACCGAGTTCGCTCAATTCGTTCTTTGTCTCCCTCCAACCGTTAGAAAAAGACAAGCGGGAATTAAGCAAAGATTAAAGTTAAGCGACGTTTGGTGAAACCGGGCCTTGGTCTATTTTCTCTGAAATTAACGGAGCGATAGCGGAGCAACGGTCGTACTTTTCGAGCCGGCAGCGTATCGGCGGTGTCAGCGACACTATCAAAACCCCGTTAAATTAAGCATACCGGATACGCAATCGCGACGCACCGCGGTGGTAATTGGATCGTACGGCACTGCGCCGGTGGTACGTTCGTTCGAGCTTCATTCGTGTTTTCCGACAATGCCGTTGTTTATCCCATATCGCGAAATGAGTTTCGGAATGAGTGGCGTGGGAGCGCGTGTAGCGCGAGGGTGCAACCCGGGTGGGGATCGAGAGTTATAGATGGGCGCGAGTTCTCGGAAATGCATATCTCATATGCCGCAATCGTTTCGCGAATTGAAGAGCGAATTGGAAAAACGCCGGAGGCTGCGGGCACCGGGGAGGGGACCAGGGGGCGAAAAGGAGACAAAAAACGACAACATCCTTTTTACCTGGTCCGCTGTCATGTACTTTTTTCCCCTCTCCCGCGTATTTTACATCCGTAAACCAAATATCCCTCCGATTCGCGTCGCTGTTCTCCCCCTGCGAAGCCCGGCGAGCGCGCGTTAAGGGCAGAAGCGAGACGTCGCGAACCCGCGAGTGATCTCGCGAGATTCGATACTTTGATCTCTACGGAATTTTAACGAATTTCAGCGACCGCCATCCGAGCTTTCCGCCCGCAGCGAGCGCGAGTATGGAGCTCCACATAGTTTTAAGCGATCGTTTGAAATTCAATATGCGAAGACATCTGCGAAACTTGCCTCGGCTCCGCGACTTGTCTTCAATTTTATATCTCGCCGTTTGTTTTCCTTGTTTTTTTTTTTTAAACAAAAGATCAGACCGGTACGATAGTACCTTTAGGTGTTCTCGCGGATCCAGAAGTACTTTTATCGCTTCTTAAACCATTTCCAATACTTAAGTATTCAAAAGTTTACATTCTGCAGACTCGAATGCATAAGTCACACGGGGAAGACTGCTTAAAAATTCAGAAAGTCAGCGCTTTACTTATTACCCGATAGAATGTCATTCTCGCCGCGGCGGAATAAATGTATGACTACTTCCAAACGGCTAGTGCGGCAAGAATCGGTAATACCCACGGACGGCGGCTCACGGCCCTTCCCCAAACTATATCTCTCCTATTTCATAACTTTCCCAATTTCAAGAGCGGAGAAGCGAGAAAATAGCATAGGCTACGAAAAACTCGGCGCCCGGTAGCGGGGTGGCGAGAATTTAGGTGAGAATATAGACGCGATATTCTAGTTGAAGTCAAAAATTACCAAAGTTAAATGGAGGGGGGGGGAGGGGCGGCCCTAAAGTTGTAAGGATAACGAGCGAAACGCACTGGCGGCGCGAGAGTCGGCCGTTGGAGAATTTATCGTGGGAGACAGTTGTATCGAGAGCAACCTGGCCGGGACGATAAGTGTTGACCCCCCCCGTTGCGGAACAATTTGCGATTGCTACCTTCAGATAGCGGCTTAACGCGCGCGCGTTATCGTCAGCCGTTGCGCCCGTTCATAATAGCGGCCGCAAATAGGCCATCGACGTCGCGTTGCGAACAAAAGCAAAACAGCATCGCGCGACGGGCCAGACCCCGGCGGATGTCCGAAACGCCGCGCATTCCCGACGCGGATCGTCGGCGATTAATCGAATCGATCGAGCAGCACGGCGGCGGCGGCGGCGGCGGCGGCGGTGGAGCCTGTCGTTTGACAAAGACCCCGATTCATGCGTCAGCGCACGAGGCCGGAGCGCCGGGGTCTGAACGATACAAAAATCAGTGGCGCGCACACCAACGTGCGTACGGAGAATAAACACTGCACTCACCTCCGATCCATCCGAGGCAGAACAACAACAGGCTGGTCAGACAGATCTCCCGGGTCCAATCCATGGTGATCCGAGCCGATTTCTTGCCGCCTTCGAGCGCGAGTCGTTCAACTCTGAGGAAGAGAAGAAGAGGGTCGAGGATTAGCGAGAACGCGCGTGGCGAGCGAGACTGTTGCGTGGACGATCGTAAATGCAACCGCTTACGGTGGGTCACTGTACTCCACTGTGTTCTCTCTCTCTATCTCTCTTATCGCACAATCCACCCTCGCGTGGTTCACATTGAAAAATCCACTCGTAAACAACGCGAGACACACGTAGTCGAATAAACGATCGCCGAGACGGTCCGTCTATTATACGTTTCTCTTCCTCTTTTTAACTCGTTTCTCTTATCTCCGCCGACCGGAGGCACTGGGGCACCGCGCACTCATCAACCCTCTCACGGCGAGTCACGGCGACACTCACGGGGCACACGCGTCCCGATCGTGCGGCGAGCACGCGTCGCGCGGAAATAGCGGGCGGCAGCGGTGGCGAGGAGGCATTCGGGGTGAGATGGGGAGAGACGGAGAGAGAAAGGAGAGAGAAAGGAGAGAGAGAGCGCGCGCGCGTCCGTGCCCCACGGTGATCGCGTGTGCGGAGTAGTGGCGGTGGCGCGGCCTACGGGCTTTGGGGCACGGGGCGCCGTCTCCCACCCTCGCGCGCGCTCGGCCGGCAGCGGCGGCGGCGGCACCGCGTAGTAACCCCCTCTCGCTTACCCGGGCTCCTCTCTCTCTCTCGGTCGTTCGCACGCGCGACCGAGAGTACCCGATGTTGGAACAGCACGAGGCCGAGATAGGGGGTACCTCGGCACGAACCAGCCCGAATGAATCCGCGAGAGAGAGCGAGAGAGAGAGAGAGAGAGGGAGAGAGAGAGAGAGAGAGAGAGAGCTGCGAGCGCCTGTGCGGAAGTCGCACTCTACGCGTTGTCGCAAGACGGACTATTAACGCAGGATGCGGTTAGGAACTGACACCGAATGCTCTATTTTGACTAGACGCGTCGAAATCGAGAAAATCTATCGAGTGCGAATGTACTCGCCAATTTGGAAAGTATTGCAGTTAACACCGAATGGATAGTCAATATATTGAATGAGCAACGTTTTTTTAATAAAAACTATTAAACCAACCTTCGTTATGGTTCCTCTACCTGTTTTTTTACAATGAAAAGCGTATCACTCTAAGAAATATGGATGTGGATAGGTGCAGGTGAGTGGCACGTTTATAGGTCGCGTCATCTCCAACACGAGTCTCGCTGTATAATTAAACTTACCGATCGGTTTTCAAAAATATTCATTTTTATTTAAGCTGTTCAAAAGCATTCACTCGATATTTTATTCGTCATTTTTAATTCGATATTTTCATACCGAGGTGGAGAAAAACATCGAATAACCGATAATGTCGATAAACATCTCTAATTTCGATCACTTTCGGTGGCCGCGAGGCTGGACCGAATGGGGGATGCGGCGAGCTAAATATCGCGTTAACCAAGACCCGGTTTCACCAAGAGTCGCTTAACTTTAATCTTATTGTTAGTTTAATTCGCGTTTGTCTCTTTCAAAAGTAACAGCTGAACAGTGACAACGGGCGAATTAATCTAAGCTTAAAGTTAAACAACGTTGGTGAAACCCGGCCTAAAGCGTTAGCAGTATCTAATAAACGTTTGAATAACTTTCATACTTTTAATACTTCCATTAAAATATTTGTAACGCTTATTTTATTTTAACGACAAAAATATATAATTTATATAATACTTCATTTCCACGTGCACACATATACGCACGTAATATTATTCCAACGTTATATTACTGTAAAAAAAAAAAACGTACGTATTGCGTACCTGTTTTAATACTGTTAATTAACTTATTTCGATTCAACGACAAACATGTACGACTAACGCAATACTTAATTTTAATATGCATTTAGACGCGCGTTACGTTACTGTACACGAAAAATACATTATTGTAAAATAGATTGTATAACGTTATGTAATTATATTTGCATCGAAAGTTCGTTTATCTGCGACACTGTTTTCCCCCCCGTGATTGCCACGAGGTATCGACGCCCGCGAAGGGAAACATCGGAACCCCCCCCCCCCCCCCAGTGCCTCGCGGCGCGGTATCGAATGACTCGACTCCAAGTATTCTATTAAGTCTAAGCCTCTCCGCGCCGAGTGAGTAAAAGCACATCCGCACTTAAACTTAAGCATTCCCCCAGCCGTGGGAAACAGATGGGATATCGACCCGCTTCTCGTTGGAGCGATAGGCTCCTAGTATCGTTTCCGACTTTAGCGGCGCGGATGGGACCCGAAAAGTTAACCCCCTCCCCCGCTGCCCTTACCGCGTTTCCTCGATACCTCTTAAACTTGGGTTAAACTCTTTCTGTGGCGCCGTAACGCGCGGTCCACACTCGGGCGAATTCGATGTAAGTGCGCCGAGTGCGTTATGCGGAACGTTTTTCTTCGGAACTTTAAGCTATGCGGTATATGAAGTCAAATACGCGCGCGGAAGGAGAGAAGTGTACACGCAAGCACATACATGTACACGTGTACACAGATACACGCTGAATCTTGTCTGCGAGCACCGAGATTGCCTCGCGTGCTGCGGAGTGCAGCGATGTATCGTCAAAGACGGATACGTTATAGACAGGTCGAGAGTATCGCGCGCGTCTCGTGCAGCGCGAATGCGCGACTGCAGTACGAATTTTCCTCCCCTCCCCCCCCCCTCGCTGTTTTTTTCCTTCCAAAAGGATCAGGCCTTTGAGAAATAAGAGCTGGAAATGTTTCAGTTACCTCCTCCTCATGTTAAATGATTCCGTGTTCAAGCGACGCTTATATCGAATTCCATCTAGCACGTACGGCGTCAGGTTGCACCTGAAGGCGTAGTAAACCGAATGAGAGCGGCAGGGATGTAATCGTAGAGGAAGGCCGAGATATCTCAGTATGTGTGTGTGTGCGCGCGTGTGTACACTTGGCGGCGCGGGGTCGCCGCCAAGTAAAATACGAGGGGCACGTAATGAGAATTCCTAATATCAAAAATCAAAGACGACCGGGCACCGCGGAAAAATGCATTCGCTCGATCAATAGCGCATTTCTCGCCCCCGAGGCCGCTGCGAGAACGCAGAAAAGCAGATATACGCGGCAGCACGGGAAAGCAATGTTGTGTTTGCGGGGCGTCAGGTATAACTGGGAACTATTATATGCGCTGTGACGGATTTATAGTACGCGGGGCCCGGCGGCGCGCCGCCATCTTTCCGGAGACCCTACTCGTATCGATCTGACAGAATATTGATCTCGACCCTGGGACTATTTTCTTAAACGTCGTAAACGCGTGCACGGCGACGCGAAATCGCAATTAATTAGGGCCGAACGGTAAAACGCTGGCGATATAAATTGTAATAATAATAATTGCTAGCCTGTTTTTAATTAGCGCTTCTATTATAATATCTGCAAATTTAATTGCATTTTTGATTGTAATTTAACGGAAATGAAATTGATCCACACATTTTCCCATATTTCTCTCATTCCGATTTTAATTTGAGGCAAATCCAACGATTCGTACGTCTCGAAACATCTCGCGGAGGAGGAGGAGGAGGAGGAGGAGGAGGAGGAAGAGGCGCGGGAGAAGGAAGAAATTATGCACCGACACGTTTCTCTCCGAGCAACCCCTTTCTTTTCTTTTCGCCTTTATTTCGAAGGTATAAAGACCTTGAGCCGTAGCGTAAATCCGTTGGCGACGGGACACCCTCCGAAGTAATCAGAACCGCGTCTATTCGCGCGCCATTCTTCCTCTCACCCCCGCGTCATCCGTCCCAGATACGTCCCCTCTGCCCCGGCCTTGTTGCCTCCGACGCGTCCGGATGCGCCGTCGCGGGCTCGGGCATGCAAACGCGTGTCCCGTTCCGCCGCCGCCGATCCCCGAACTTCCGTTTACACGCCAGCTCGTGTTTATAAGCGGGAATGAAACGACGGGATCCGGGAGCGACGAGGTGGACCGCCGGCCAATGCGGATGACCCGGATCGCGTATGCGAGGCGCGCGAATACCAGGGGATCCCGAGTCGTTTGTTTCCTCCCCCGCAGCCGCCGCCGCCGCCGCCGCCACCGCCGTCCGCGAAGCACGCGGATCAGATTAAGGACGCGCGCGCCGAGAGACTAACGACAGGGCTGGAGATGCGACAGGAGATAGACGCCCACCGTTACCCCGATACCATTGTCGCGGTCTATCTATCGCGCCACCGTGACTGGCCGCATCGCTAGTCAACGCCGACAGCGGACGACGGGGAATCACGGCCGATCCCTTCACGCCGCAGGGCCCGTTAATCCGCGCGGGATGCGTCGAGGTGTCGTGCGGCGGTAATGAAATTACTCGATACTCACCGCCGCACAAACGGACGGAGCATTAACCGTCGCGCTTAGTTACCGGTCACCGCTCGGTAACGGACACGGACGCGGCCCCCCTCCGGATCCTAATTTCGCCGTTTCGAGCGACGGCGAGGCCGCGCGCGCTAAGAAGCGCTTTATCAGCGTCGCGATAAAGCGAACGGAACTGTAACTCTTCTGCGCGATGTCGCGGGCGACGTTGGCGTTAAATCAAAAAAGTCCCGCCGTTAATTACCGTGAGCGCTGGTGGACGAGAGGCGACTCGTCCGGGGGACCGCGTAATTTGGCGTGACGTATCGGGCTGTCGATGTCGCGAATTTCCGTGGTTTCGTACTCGGCGCGGGAGGAAAGACACTGAGGGAGGCACCGACAATCGCGGCTACGGTGCTGCGCTCAATGAGCATACAAGGATGCAGCCTTGCGGAACGTAATTTCGAGACGATGACGAACATGATGGAATTACGTGATAGTTAGCCCGGACCAAATTGGCGTGGGTACCTACGTAGTTACTCGCTGTTGGCCAATATGGCATAAGAGTTACGCTCCTTCGCGTTATATCGGCCCCGCTAATTAGACTCGATACACTCGCACGAGGGTAACTAGAGAATTCGCGGGTAGGCGAGTCCTGTCGGATCTGGCGAAATAAGAGGATTCGAGTCTCGAGGCTAATTGCCCGTTCGCCGATAACAGCGGGGGAAGTAGTC